GCTATCTGCATATTCTACTATTTATACCTGCATGACCAAACAAACAATATTTTTTTAGGACGTAGAACTAAAATTTGTGTAATTCAAATTAAAAGATATCCACTATGTAATCATTAGATACAAAATTTATTGATGCTATATATTACTATACCGTTTTTCTGGGATTTACTTAACCCATAAATTGTTCTCATAACTATTTCCTATCATCAATGAAACTACAGGACAGTTGTATTTTATTCTGATTCATAAAGCTCTCATCAGTAAGGAAGAAAAATGTGAATATTTAGAATCTACAAAGAATAATAACTAGTAAGATACTTGAACTAAAACCACAATTCTTATTTCATTACTATAAAAATTAAAAAAAGCGAGAAAATAATGTTATCTTTGAAAAACGTTAAACAACTTTGCAATATGTCACGATTTTCAATTTATCAGACAGGTGCTCCTAACTATGATGGAAACTATGTATTACATTTTAAAATCTCTAAGTCAATTGATAGAAAAGGTTTATAATATCGACTTTTTGATAATTGGTGTTATACTCTCAGTGTGAATATTTAAATGGACGTGTAAATAGTTCTAGTTTAGTTAATAATTTACTTAATTCTTTTACACCTCATCGAGAAGCATAGGCCGCCCACCACTTTTCGCATACTTTGCGCCTTCTCTCTCGTGTTCAGGTCGCTGTATAGTTCTAGCTTGGGGGTCTTCAAGAATAGCTTAGGAATCGAGTATAGCGTTCAAAATCTCAAGACTTATCAACTTCAAGTAACGAGAGTAACCCACTGTGTCACTGCAGAATCATTTCAACACAATTCAATGAAGAAAATTTCCCTTTTAACGATATTATTTGTTCAAGTTGTACTGTCGTATTTAACAAATGAAATAGTCTTAAAAATAGAAGGACAATTACATCATATCAAAATAAAGTTGCTTAACGATTAAGAATTCGAAGAGAGATAATATGATGAAACCAAAAGAAAAGAAGAGAGATTGTACACTTGACGAGTATCCCAGAATTATTGATTTGATTTGATTTTATATGACAAATAATCCTTGATTGACATGTTACAATTTTAAATGATATACTCTGCCTTAAACCTGGTCAATTTTATGGATTATTAATTTGGTTATATAATTGTAGAACTTGATGAGAAATCATTGAAAAGAATATTCTTCGTTCATATAATTGTGTTTTAAAATTAAAAAGTTTGGAAACAGTATAAGGATAATAAGCAAAAATGAATAGTGTCTAGCCGTGGAATCCAAAACGCGCGTTTCGTCCTATGTGGGACTCGTCAGCTGAATGTATCTTCATCTCTGCTTATAGTGCTTTTGATTTAAAGCAATATAGACGCATCTGCATAGGATACATATATTACAAAAATTGACTGGTCAATTGCAGTCCCAAACATCAATCGGACGATTCAAACAATCAGTACAAAAAAAAATGAATCATAAGGATGTGTTAACAATATAATCACTGTTCAGGAAAATTAGGTCATTAGAGAATGATGGCTAGTATGTGTTATTGATTCGTCGGATAAAGATATGTGTTTACTAAAAGTGCAGTGATCCATCTGAGCCCCTAAAGTAGTTGAAATAACTATCAGCTGAAGAGTAACAATATTGTTTCAGTCTTCAATATTACTCCAATACAACATCCTTAATTACATGTTTAATGAGGTGTTTATTTATATTAGCGAATGTGAATTGAAAAGACAAAGAGAAGTTGGCGAATCTGGTTAAAATGTGAAAAATTCCCATATCGTGACTTAGAGCAACAAATATAAGCGAACAATATCGTTTTCGATTAGATCTTCATGAAGCTTTACTCTAATATACAGTAAGTTTATATGCATATACGAAATTATTAAACCAATCAAGGCAGTTTATGAGTCAATGATAACAGTGGAATAGATTACATAAATAGACATAAGTCAAAGGTACAAAGTGGTAGTGTGATGACATGTGTACTATATAAATGAAGTCAACAGATTTAAGAGTTGCTAAATCAAGATTCATTACATTTTTTAAATGGTTTTAAAATAAGCTGAAAATGGAGGAAGTATGTTCATTCAATTTGCTGTATTCCTTATCTGAACACCGTAATATGAATTCAGTATTGTACATTAATAAAATTATTTATGTGTATTTATATTAACATTATGCTTGAAACTGGTTCAAAACCTTATCTGTTTGGATATCGATTAAACGTCGAAAAGCAAATAAACTGATCAATTATCTAGTCCTTCTGAATTATCAACCATTAACGTATTGACATCAAATTTTGATGGATTATATGGCGAAATATTTCATTTCTAAAATAAATATGACCAAATAGTCATATCTAAACTTTTACAACCGTTACAATAATATACAATTGCATTTCATTCGTTTCCAGCACTATATACATTCCAATGAAAATGACTGTGTATCTGTAATGATCAATAAGATTACTTATAAAATGTTTTTAATAGATGTTCAGAAAGAAGATATCAACTCTTGGAATATCGATGTTATTATTCATGGTATGTAGAGAGTTTGTTGACTTTTCGCATTTATTCATTACTGATTGAAAGCGATATGTATTTTATGATATGAATCATTTGTATGTATTAAACTCTGTATTGATAAAGACATCAATTAATAATAACGCAATCAGAAATCTGTTTTCTTAAGGAGTATAGGCCGCCCACCAGCATTCTCCATTCTACTCTATTCTGGACAATTCCTTACAGTTGTTTCCAGTTGTCATTCGGTCTCTTCGCTCTTCCTCTTTTACATTTCCATTCACTATTCCAAGTTAGAACAGCGCTCGTCTCATGATGCAGTTCGGTGATTTCTGCAATGTGTGCACCATCCACTTCCAACGTCTTTTCATAATTTACTCTTCAAATGAAAGCTAGTTTGTTTTCCCCCACAGTAAGTTGTTGCGGATGATATCCAGTCAACGGACATTAAGTATTTTGTGTAGACAATTGTTTAGAAGTACTTGTAGTATTTTGATTACGGTTGTGGTAGTTCTGGAAGTTTGAGCTCCGTATAGTGGAACTGTCTTGACATTCGCTTCATCATCTAACTATTTACTTTACTGTCAACTCATCTTAAACTGGAAATTACATAATTTGTTTTTGATACGGTATCTGTTAATAACGATGAAAAGTGAACTCCATGAAAATAATGGCGGAAGATTAATTTACTGGGTAGTTGTCGGGCTTTTCATTATTAAATTTATTTTAAACCATATGAAAATATAACATTCAATATAATAAATATTATGTTCACATCACCTTCTATATTGTACTGGTAATATGAGATTTTAACTGGACATTGAAATTAGATAAAATCAAGTGCTAATTCGTTTTTAAAGAAGATGATAATTTAACGGTCTTTAAAATTGTATCGATTGATCGGCGAATCTAATTTCGGAACTAATTGGAAGGTCACCATTTTATTATTTTGGCACTAGATAACGGACATATCTAATCACATGCTATCAGTTTCTCTCTTCCTCTCTATCTATCTGTTTCTCTCTAGCAGACTCTTTAAATTACACAAAACTATCTTTTTTGTACTTGTTTACCAACAATATGATTTATTTATGTTGATAAACGATAATCCTATTTGATAACCAAGGTCACAATTAATCGACTAACTGCATGATGGAAATTATTAATTAATTTACAAATATTAAATTTCACTGAATTGAAATTGTGAATGTTTTAAATTTCTCATTGTTTTTTTATTAAAATAAATAATTTAAAGCATAAAAATCAATTATTTCATTAAATTTAGAATTATATCCTTTTATATCTTTTTCGCGGGTTCCATAATAAGAATAAATAACTGTGCGGTGTATCCTAGTTTTGACCGGTGTTTCAAGTGAAATCAACTTTAGAAGAATATCACTTACAAATTAAACGCATCTTCACAAACGTTTTACACAAATGAATCATATTAAACTGTAGTCATACTGAATGGATTTTTAACTTAATTAGATACTTTATCATTCACAAGTACAATCGGTTTGAAAAAGAAAACAACTAGGGAGATTATTAAAGCAGTTCTTATAGTTTAATATTTATTTATTTAAAAATACACATAACATATCCACAGCTGTGTTATTATTTTTTGTAACAGTAGATATCAATTTTGAAGTAAATAACCATATGTTTCTCTGAAGAAGTGACTTACACTAAGTCACGAAACGTCAGAAAATCTAATTTTCTACTCATTGGGATATTACAACTATATTATTTACTTATCTTTCTCTGTTTATATTTACTGAAATCCAGTTGATAAACTGATAGGACGGTGTTTTTCATAGTTGATTAACAGGTTATTTCAAAACAAAATCGGTATACGTTAAACCAAAGCGGTTTTCCGCGTATAAATATAAAACATAATAAAATATAAATATTCATTGTACCTGGAAATATATATATATATATATATATATATATATATATATATATATATATATCTTTAATCACACTCGTATAAATATATCAATAACTGTAACGAAATAAAATGAATTCATATAATTCTACACCAATCTTTGTTCTTGCTCTCTTTAAGATAATAAAGAGAACTATGTGTATGAAATGGATAATTGATAAAAATCAAAGTCAAATAAGACTATTTATTTAATCCCACTCTCAAGACAAATTTTGCACCAATATACACATTTCAATGTGTTAATTAATTATTTAACGATCAAGTCTAGGTTAGATATTAAGTTTGATGTTAGTTTATACATATGTTAAATGTATGTCTGAGATCTTGTAAAAAGAATAATTTTCTTTACATGATTCTAAGCTAGATCATTTAATGCCAAATAGCAAGATATTAACATTGAGTTGTATTCGGTTAGAATCTGATCTTCTCATTGAAATGAAATATTTACAATGGTATTTATTAACCAGTATTGATCTACTACAAAGTACAATTTATGCTTTACACTAAATTGATTTATATTATCAGTAAAAAGTATATGCCCCATCATATTTTTATTGTAATTTGATAAATACAACAAAATGTTCATTTTGAAGAGTGTTACCTTTGAAAAAAAGATAAAGAAATATAATTTATAATACTTCAACATTATAAGTAATACTAGATAATTTCTGATAGAAACATGATATTGTTATTAAGCTGAATGTTATTGGTGAAGTTTTGTTCTTTGAGCTGGATGGTTTAATCGTGGAGCTTTCGTTGTTCTTCTGAACGACATCATCAGCACAAACTTCAGGTATCTGAAGTTCCACCTGAGCTACAAATCTTCTCAAGGCTGAATGCTGAATTAGAATGAAGAAAAATGATCATCAAATCGTGACTATTTTTTTAATAAGTAAAAATTTAAAATTACATTAAATTCATTTACAGAAAAAAGCTTACAAGTTATCATTGAAATTTCTTGGCTTTTTATTTCCGCAAAACATTTTAAAAAGAAGTTTGAAAACAAAAAAGAAAAACGGTTTACAACTGTTTCGTCTTAAGCTGGACGTGCATACATACTAAGTTTCTGTATACACAGTATATACTCTGAATGTTCGAATAATGATAAATTAAAATGTTGGCTAGTTATTTGTTTTAATACAGCTGTCTCTGTAACATAGCGCTTAGTTGTATTCGAAACTTAAGAATCTTATCTTTTTACATTGTGGTAAACCATGTACTTCAAGATAAATTTTCATTCCTTTTGGAATAAAAAGTTTGTAATAGATGGAACTATAATTTATGGATGACCTTTGAGTGATACCAAAATGACCTTGAAAAAGGTTAACCATTTACTAGAGTCTAAAGAGGGTTGGTGTGAGGAAATGAAATTAGGATTCCGAGCTAGAAATATAGTCAGTAATTCATCATGAATGGACACCAGCTATAATGCCAAAATACTTTGAAACTTAATGGATGATTAGATATTGCGCCAAAATTCAAAACATGCTGTCTTAGATCCCATCGGCCAATCTATAAATTGTAGTCTTGCATCTGATTCTCAAATTTCATGCAATTAGTCTCGTTTATGAAATTAAATAAAGCTAGAACAAATACTGATGCAGAATAATAAGAATTCATTATATTTCGTGGTTTATCATTAGCTGCTTACAACCAAATATGTATTAGAGTTCTACGTTGAGGTAAGAAATTGTGTGGAACAATTGACATAATTTAATGTAAAGGATTGAAATAAAAAGATTAGCAATGACAACTAATATATATGCAAGAACAGGTCAGAGGTTATTTGATGTTAGAATCAAGAAAACATTAAGGATGGGTGGTGTAATAGTTGAGTGGAGTTCAGAAACATAAGATAAATTGTGATAATTTTAGAGATAATGAAGGGTTTACATATGCTTCATGGAATTAAAAACTGATAAGATGAGTTACGTAATATTGAATAGAATTTGAAGAGTTCACATAATTTAAGAGTATGAAGTGAGCGAAAGTGTATGAGTGAAGGGGTGATTTAAGAAGAGGAATGTAGCACAAACTAAACATTAACAAAATAAAACCAAAAAAAGTGAATTAGCAGGGTATTAATGAGCTTAATACTGTCTCCTTTTGAATACATATATCCGGTTTGAGTTTTGTTATCGCTATTGCTTAAGTGAAACGCAGAGAAGTATTATTTCTTTGTCCGCTAATAATTTTAAAAGCATGACGAATGTCAATCGTATGCCCGGTGTGGAGCATCTTCCTCTTCGTGACCGGAGTATAGCAGCATCTCTCCCGTATTTAGCCTTTGTTGTCCAGCTTGGGTCCAATGGGTTTCGCTGATTATCAGTACTGCCAAGTTGTATCTCCTCATTTCCGTTACTATTCGACTGGTCTTCCCGGTCTCCCACATTGTCCGGACGTTCCATTTACCTATAAAAATTGTTGCTCTGGTTGTTAGAAGGGGCATCGGCCTCATGGCTTCCGAAGGAACTCGGCTTTCACCATGAGGCATCATATTTCTTTAAATGGTTTGAGTTATTTTTTCTGGTTAACGTATTTTTAGCGAGTTAGTTTTCTACGGGATGGGGACGCTAACCCCATGCTCAACCCTCCTCCTTTATCCGGGCTTGGGACCGGCAGTAACTCTAGAAGAGCTACAGGCGGAGTTCTTGGTCTTCTCACGTTATATTGTTATCGAAGAAGGTTTTCCATCTGACCTACTACATTAAGAGATTGCATGCTCTTGGGATCACTCTTATAATTTGTCAATTCTTGCTACTACCTATTATTCTTTACTGTTCTTCATTATTCTTTCCCGGGCTTTTGAGAAAAGACTTTGCTGTACTGCGGAGAGTGCTGAAGGCAGTTAGCAAGGTGTGTGGTGAATCCTTCGAGATCATACTTAATGTGGTTGTGCATAGACATCTAAAGTCATGCAAACTCCTGGCAGATGTTATTTTATCAGATACTAACCATCCCCTTCACTCAAATCTTTCTCCTTATATATCTTCTGGTAGAACGACACGAAATTACATTAAAATCCAAGCACGCAAGCAAAAGTATTAAAGTTCTATAATACCTTACCTAGCAAATGTACTCTGTGACGAACAGGTTGTTAGAGTTAACCTAGACATGTATCTCATTTGGAAAGTTGTACAGTTTTTATGATCTTTTTTTGTCTTTGTTTCTGTTTTTATTTTTTTGCAAAAGAAACTTGTTGAAATATTTTGTGCTGAGAATTCTATATTGTACCAAAATATAATATTGAATAAAGCCATAAAATAAATAAACAAATTTTGCGTACAGTCAAAAAGAGTTCGTACAATATCCTTTTTGTAATTCATTGGACAGAAACTGCAGTAATTGAGATAAACTCTAATTCTGTCTTATTCGTGTGATTCACTCTTTATTTATGCTTTTATAGGATTTTATTATCTTGTCAAAAAGATTGGTTACAAATAAAAGAAAATATAAAAGATTGTAAAACGGCTTCATTCAAATGGTTCATAAATTATATTTGGAAAGACTATTTCGTATTCATAAATTGTCATATAAATCGATTCATTTTCACTAGTTGAAATCATGAGTCAATTGAAGCTAGACCACCATGGAAAACCCATAAACCCTAGACAGCCATTTCGTCTTATTATGGGACTCCTCAGCAGTGCGCATCCACGATCCCTGTCTTCGCGAGATTCGGACCCAGGATCTATCAGTCTTGCTCGCGAGCGCTTAAACATTAGACCACTGAATCGGCACACTACGGTGTTAATGTCTAACTTCAATCAATCCACGAAGTTGCGCCACCGTACACCATTGTCTTCAGTGAGTTGATATTTCACAACAGACTTGGTTGAACTCCACTGGTAACGGCTTCTCACTGGAACTCCAGGAGTATCTCTTGAAGTCAGTCACCAGTGAGCAATTCATCACATCAGTTATTTCTTATATGTATACACATAAAAAAATTATCATCTAGCTGAAAAGAAAAACCAAAAATTTATGCTAGTAAACGGTATTTAGATAATAATTTTACAACTTGTTATCACAGTAACTGTATAAAACATAAGAGGACTGAGTTTTAGATGTATACTAGTAGATGATAGAAACGGTTTGTTAATCTTGAATTTAAAGTTTGTTGATAATCGTTCGAAAAATATTTTTAAATCTTATCTCATATCAAAGATTAAGTATTTAACGACTTATTATATACTCGGAATAAAATCAACATTTAATCTAAAATTCACAATTATTTCGTGAAGTGATATAATAGATTGATAACAAAGCATTATGTAGATTTATGATTTTTGCAAATGTAACTACAACTTAATTGATTACATTGTTTGTATTAGTACAGAAATTATTATGATCTTTTATTCATGTACATCTCCTATATAGATGTGGTTATCTACGTTCATTTGTTTAACCCAACTTTTATCTACGTGAATGACATAAACTGAGAAGGAAACTAATTTTTACGGATTCACTGGTTATATGTAGCCGCTTCCCAACAGTCTATTATCATGTATCTGTTGATTTGATTTGTTTTCATGAACTACACGCTTTTTAAATCTATGTAGCTTGGTTCTATTGTAAATTTTCACAAAAAATAACGCGATAGAATAAATGAATTGATTCTTTTTCCGAACTTCTCACTAGCTGAAAACAGTCTAAAATTACAAAGAATGATATAAACATAAATAAAAAATAAACGACTGAGGATTAACTCAACGCTGACTATTGAGTTGGAGTGACGTCGACACCATTCTGTTTTACCATAAACTACTGTTTTAGTAAACAAAATTAACCATAAATACGGTTGTACACCTTAATATACAAGAAATTTTTCTTCCCTGAATTGCTTTTTTTTCTTCAAATGAGATATTTTGTTATAAAAATCATAGTCATCAAATGTGTAGTCTTCTTGATGAAATGATATCAATTGAATAATTATTAGAAAGTTTAATGATATTTGGCAGATATCTTTGTCATTTTCGAAGACCCTTTGTCAGTTAAAAACTCATTGAAATGAACACAAGGATTCACCTAATAACTACGTTAATATATTATAAGTAATATAAAAATCATTTATTTTGTTCTTCACACAAGTCTCAAAAAAGAAATTGAATAGTCACAGTTGGAGTTTATCGAAAAATTCATTACATGCAATACACTTTCTCCCTTAAATGCTCTATGTTAAATTATCTTATATGCATGTCTCATTTAACTGATGTAACCATCAACTTTAAATTTCATAGGTTAAAGAGTGGACTTTTAATTATCGAACTACATATTAGAATCCTGATTAGACAACATCATTCTAAGCTATCGATTAGAAAATTTAAGTCCTAAAATTAGTTCAAAATCCAATACATGGAACTGTATGTACTACATTAGGTTTTTTAAGATTCTGCTTAACATCAGTAATTTATTTCAACGAAAAAACTAGTAACATTTAATAATTTGTATTTCCCGGAGTATTTTTTTAATGTGAAGATTTTTTTTATCAGTCGTCAGTCGGTTACTATTCATCATTACCAAACGATTGTAAAACGTTCTTACTGGTATGTACATATAAAATAATAGTAACAGTCCCCTGATTCACATGCTTTAAAATAATTCTGTAACAGTGATAAATGTTATGACGTCAACTATTCTTTTTACCATTGGGGTTTATAATTAAAGTCACAATAGTTTTAATTATCCTGCTGTTCATATTTTGACTGATTTTCTTTAGTCTCAGTTGATATTTATGCATCCCGGACGAACCTCTTCGATATAGCCACTACATCACAAGTTTATATCCAGCAGATGGAATATGTTCAGCGGTAGAATCTAGGATGTGCGTTTCACCTTATTCGGGATATTTTAACTGTAGGTGCCTACACAAATGAATGATTATCTGGAATCAACAGCTAGGTGGATAATGCTTTTGACATTTGAAGCCAAATGTAATAGGTTTGAATCCTGGGTACAGGTAACCTCAGTTGATGAGCCTCAAATAGGACGAAACATGCACCTCGGACTCCACAGTTAGCCGTACTCCATTTGTTCGATATAAATTTGGGCTCATAACTTCATGAACTTTGTCTTCAATAATTTCTTTTCATACTCATGTAAAATAATAATAATCTATTGAGTAGTGTACTGGCTATTCTATTGTTGTTAAATTTGAAAACGCGGTATCATCATCGTGAATTTTTAATGATTAAATTGATGAAATACTTTACAACCAATTATGCAGTAAACCGACCTAATCTCAACAACTCTAACATGGACCGAATAATGTTTCTGAAATTATTCTGCGCATACCGATAACACAAATTTTAGTTTAAACCAAAAGTGATCATTTTTAACATTTAAATCTATGAGACGAAGATTCGTAGCTTAGATGGAAAAAGATTGTAGTTTTTTTCAGTGATACTGACACATCAATTCTTTAATTTTTTTAGCTTAATTTTCCTATTATGATGTTTTTGATTCCTTGGTGAGAAGTGATTGTTTGCACCTATTAAAACGCTATCACTTAAGTGAGTGCCTGACTTATATATATAGGCTAGTAAAAAACCTCGTAACTTCCTGCTCCTAATTTCCAGTAGATAATTATGCAATTTTAACTGAATTTCATATAATCATTGTTAAACTGACAGCGAGATATTCAATTTCTCTTGTAATAAATATTTTCGAAATGACTAAGAATTGAAAAATCTGTCAGAGGTCAAAATTTTAGAGATTATTACATGCACAAGTTATAACAAGTTTAAAGAACAAATTGACAGTGTATATATACCACTCTAAGGTCATTTATAAAAGTACACCGTGATATAAATATCAGTTGACAGTTTAAATGAGTAATTTTTTTCAGTATGATTCCATGTTTGCTGAAATTATTACAACTTCCAAAATAGATATATAGGTAATGATAATTCTAAGCATCATAATGACTTAACAATAAAACGTTAACCTAACAGTCACCTTCAAAATAGCTCTTTCTGTAAACAACAGTTACCAAAACTGGAAAAGACTTAATATGCATCGATAACTTTCACTAAATTTGATTGATTATGATTTAAGTATGAGTCAAAAAGCTCATTATTCCTAATGTCGAAGAATTAGAAATTTCGCAGTTTCAATATTTTGCCTTTGATTTTCAGTATCTGCTGAATGGATAATTAAAAGTCATTTCATCATTAAAAAAAAGCTAATACATGGTTAAAACAATGAACCTTTTTTCTAAAAAATTGAAATAGAATTTTCGGAAACGTTTGGACAAAGTAATTCATCGACCTAAATAAGTTATACTGAAGCTAAATCCTTAATTATTATTAGGTTAATTGATCATATAAAAATTGGATATTGAAAGTTTCAGTCAAAAACTGGGACTAATTAAATTAATAATTTCTAGTATTATACCTCTTAATATCAATTGACTTTCTGAATTAATCGTTTTAAATCTCTAGTTTTATTTAAATATTACTTACTTACTTACTCCTGTTACTCCTAATGGAACATAGGCCACCGATCAGCATTCTCCAACCTACTCTGTCCTGGGCCTTCTTTTCTAGTTCCATCCAATTCTCGTTCATTTTTCTCATGTCTATCTCCATTTCCCGGAGTAATGTGTTCTTCGATCTTCCTCTTTTTCTTTGGCCTTGAGGATTTCATGTGATATGTATATGTAATAAATATATATTTTGTTAAATCTTTGATCTTATCCTTGATGGATTTTTTAAGAATTTTATTCGTTTAATGAAAAGTTCAGGTAATACATTTTGAAAACTTATGGTAAACTATTTTTAAAACAGTAACTAAGTAAAGTTTCCTGCCCCATTGACTTTTTATTATTATTAGGAATATAGACTATTTTGTACAACAGTATATGCTGTAATACAAACAAATTACATCTTGAATATGTGAATTGATTTCATTTGTTTTTACATTGCATTTATAATTAGTAAATCACATAAGTATGTAACTATATTATCAGAAATATATCAATTTAATAGTTGAATTCATGAGTCAATTGAAGCTAGACCACCATGGAAAACCTAGAAGCACTGGATGGCCGTTTCATTTTACTGTTTCCAGGTTTTCCATAGTGGTCTAGCTTCAATCAACTCATGGTATCAATTATTAAATTACTACAATCTCCACAAAACCCTTCACTGATTATATATATATATATATATATATATATATATATATATATATATATATATATATATATATATATATATATATGCTTCTAAAATAAAAAATCCAAAACCGATTAAGATTTAAAATCTAAGTAATCCAGATTGGTTATCAAACGCTTTTGAAGTAAAGCAGAATATTTTCATCACAAATTGTAGTTTCATTTTTAACAGGTCGCCATTTCGAAATTTCTAATTCATTCAATTTATGTATTAGTTCATTTCAATAATTACCAAACAAATGAAACGAAAGTAAACATCTTCAATTTAGTCATTCGTAAATTTTCTTTGAAACACATTTCATTTTATTCACTAATCTTTTGTGTGAGATTCATAGGCATATAATTGAATTACAAACAAAGATGGATAGCGGTTAGCAGTAGAATCCAGGACTCGTCAGCTTTATGTACCTGCATCTCAAAGTTGATGTTCATTCTGGGACTAGAACCCAGTACGGTTCGCTTCAAACGCCATCGCCTTATTCGCTTAGCTACTCAGTTCTGATAGCTACTTGAATTATTTATGCAATAGAAATTCCTTAATGTTTATGTTCATAAAAATGTTCTCCTATTAGACAAAATGTGTGTATTATTAGTAATAACTTCTAGTTATAGTCTCAGTAAATTTGACTTGCAATTAAGAGCTGTTTAAGATTTATACAATTTTTCATACGGTAAATAATGTTTGTTTTTATGTGTAATACATATTACTTGAATTTTCTCTTCACATTAAATGACTGGATTAGTTAGTTGAACTGTTTATGAAAGTGTCACTATTTTCAAAGAAAATGTATGATGTTGACTTTAGGAGCTTGAAGACTTTATTCATAGAAAGCTTTAAACCTTATTTTCATTCTTTTTGTTACCAATTAAATATTCATATCTGGAATAATTGAATCATGTGTCTTGTAAGGACTAGACAACACGACATTACTTGATCAATACAAATGTTGATAGTGTAATAAGAAGACGAAGATTATCAGAATTATGTGATATATTAGCGCAATACATTTCGAATAATTTAATCACAAATATAGCTGTTAAGAACATTTACATATAAAAATAAAAATGGAGGGCAAGAGGAGATAAAATAATAAGGAAAATAATATGAAAAACAATTAGAAACCTCATCACCCTGGATAATAAGCTAATATTGCGAATTGCTTCAATACAAATGTACACCATTGTACATTTTATGACAGACCATAGTATATTAGATTAATAGGTGTAAAGTGTTTTGTGTTAAGGCTCAACCAATCAATAAAACACTATTAACGGATGTAAAAAACACGTAATAAACACCAAAAGCTTTCAGTTTATTATAACTACAGTATTTAAGTATTTTAGATTTTGTGGATTAAGTTTACCTCCTAAATACCTTGAAATACAACTGCATGGAGTAAAAATAAATGAGGGATATTATTGTAATATCGAGGATTAGAAAAAATATCGGTTAGGTTAGTAAATAGTTTTTTAACTTATCCATAACTGTAAGTTCAAAGCCTTATGGGTCATTAATGTTTAAATCAGTACCTAATATATGTAATAATTTAGGTCAGTTATGATTGTATTACAGTTATACTGAAATAATATTGAGTCAGTCAGTCAGTAACAACGTGAAACTTCATACGTACGTACATTATTTAGAGTTGCCATATCACATTTGCACAGAGATGCAGTCGATTCAAATCCCGTAGTGGTAGAGGTGGTAAGAGTATAAGCAGTAATCCGAAATTTTAGACTTTGAAAATGATATTCAAGGAGTATAATTCAGTGAAATAAATTTGGAAAGAGGAAAAAAGAACGAACATCAAGAATTCAGAAGATTGGAATTTGGGAGAACACAAAGAGTGGATGCACCTACGCTATTGCACACGATTTCGAGCCATGTCATTCAAGGTCTCTAATCGTTGGTTGCTATCATCTCGCGGTCCCCAACCAAGTAATCTACACCTACCAACATGGCTCAGTCCACTTGTCAGTGACTTCATGGATTTGTGCCATGTTTCGGTCTGGCCACCCCTGGTTTTCTTCCAACCTACTCCTACACCATAAAACATCGCATGTAGGGGCAGTCGGTAGTTGGGCATACGTAACACATGTCCCAGCTATCTCAATTGACTTGTCATCCTTACCTAGTACCCGTTTCCTAACAACTGCATTACTTACTCGGTGGTCCCAGGATATACGAGCAGTGTTTCGGAGACACCTATGATCAAATACTAGTAACCTACGAATATCCTCTACTCTTACCGGCCATGTTTCACTGCCATAAAGTGGGACGAAACGAACTGCTGCGCAGTAAACACGTTCTTTGGTTGGTAGACAGATATCTCGCCTACGCCATAAATGACGCAAGTTGGCAAAAGCTAGTCGAGCCTTTTGTATCCGTGCTGAGATTTCGTCACACAGCAGATCACAAGGGCTAATGAGACTTCCAAGATAAGTGAAGCGGTCGACACGCTCAACTACTTCACTCCCTATCACTAGTTCGGGTGTCGGTGCAACCCAATCCTGAAGCAACATTTTGCATTTCGAGGGAGAAAATCGCATGCCGAACATGCTTGCATTGTTGCTTAGAGTGGTCAGCAGACTCGGCATTCTGTCAGCGTCTTCACCAAATTGAACTATGTCATCGGCATATTCTAAGTCAACAAGTGGATCTTTCGGTAGAAGTTCAACTCCTGGAAAGTCAGATGTGGAAAGTGTTATTTCTAAAAGCATGTCAGCGACAAAGTTAAACAAGAATGGAGAGAGTGGACAGCCCTGACGAACACCACTTGAAGAAATCAGTTCTGATGTCAGTTCGCCATAAGCTCTCACTCGACCAGTTGTGTTCGAGTAGAGAGCCTTTATAAGGTTGATGTACTTCTTTGGTACTCCTTCCAGTGACAAATACTGCCATAGAACCTTACGATCAACAGAGTCAAATGCCGCCTTAAGGTCGAGAAATACTATCATTGTGGGGCGTCTGAATGTGTGTCTATGTTCTAGGACCTAAAATAGTGTAAATATCTGTTCTATACAACCACGTCTAGGTCGAAAACCAACCTGGTTTTCTCTAGTCTGCTCTTCACGAGCTTCGGTTAGACGTCGAAGTAATATTGAAGCTAATATTTTAGACACTATATAAGTCAAACTGATTCCTCTGTGATTGTCACAAGAGGACTTTTGCCTTTCTTATAGGCCGGCACAATCAGTGATTGAGACCAGTCAGATGGGATTACGTCCAGTTCCCAGATTCTACCTAAGACCTCAGTCAATCTCGCTGCTAATACTGGACCGCCATCCTTAAAAATCTCAGGAGTAAACCTGTCAGGGCCTGCTGCTCTCCCTCGTTTCAGATTTCCTATAGCTTTTTCAACCTCGTAAGGCGTCGGAGGACTTACATTAATTTGCCATTCAGGTCGACTGGAGATCGTGGGAAACCGAAATGTGGCTGAAGGCCAGTTTAACTGACCCCTAAAGTGTTATAACCATCGATCCAATCTCCTGGATTGAGAATGAATAATATGTCCATCTTTCTCTGAGATTGTTTCGCTAACAGTTGAGTTCCTAATACCAGTTTCCTTAACAAGCCTGAACAGTTGCTTACTGTTACCCATTGCCGCTGCCTTTTCCATCTCTCTTGCTTTCGCTACCCACCACTGTTCACGATCATTGCGTAGGCTTCTAGTCAGCTTACGCTTAAGCTGACTCCGCTCTTCGTTATGTTCAGAGACAGAAGGAATGAGTTTTCGAGCATCTATCAGTGCGGTAGATGCTGCTGAGATCCAGTGTTTCTCCCTAACCTTATGGTTTACCGTACTTGCAGACATCACTGCCGTTTTCACAGCTTTTCGGATGTCATTCCACGCTGCCTCGGGGTGGGCATCACATACATGGCTGCCTAACTGTTTTTCTAGTTGTTCCTGAAATATATTCTTAGCTTGACTATCATTAAGTAGGATCCTACGGGGTTTCCTTGTAGCATCTTTCCTACATCCAGTAAGACGTAGACAAATACGCGCTCGCACTAGAGCATGATCTGAGTCTAAGCATGTGCTCCAGAATGAGCGACAGTCTTCTATCGAGCCCCTCCATCGGTGGCTGATAGCGATGTGATCTATTTGGGTCCAGCGATGGGACGAATTGTGGGGTCACCATGTTAAAAGATGTTTTTCCTTATGCTTAAAGTTAGTTAGATCCTGTGTGCGCGTTAGGGAGACACAGCACACATCGATGGAGCGAGATTCTAAAGTCTTAGCTAAGGAAGCCTGTTGTTATATTTGGCACAGTGTTCGGACGTTGAAAGCTCCTACGTGTAGTTTGGAGCGTGGTTTCAGGAGACCAGGAATAACATTCCGCGTACTCAAATCGTTTGCACTAGCGGGACGAGGTGATAATGGGACTTGAGAAGGGTTAGTCGTGGAGATAAGAGAGTTATTAGGAGGTGTAGGAAGGATTCGAATGTGACCGAT